ATGTGGGATAGAAGTTCGATTGACTGGTCTAACCTAAACTGATTAAATCTGATAATTACATCCATCCAACTCTATCTTAAACTGGGTTCAGCTATTATGAAACCACTCTGAACTTTTGTTGTCACAGATTTGGACTGGTTTCCCATCACTTATACTGATTTATGTGTAATTTCTGTCCCTAACCTTAGAGTCTTGAGCTCCAGGGACTGCATATGGGCAGCAGCCCTCATTCTCCAAAGATGCCTGTTGGGCTTTACTACTGCAAAGTGGGGGCAGCAGATAGGAACAATTGAACCCAGTTTTTTGTACCTTTTAATTGGTGCTTTAAATGAAACTGACCTTGTTTCACTTGTCTTTAAACCCCAGCTCTTAAAATTTCATGTTGTCTGTCATTCAAGGTTTCTTACTTTGTCTCTTCCCTTTTTCTCTTTTCTAGATTTTGTTCAAGAATAAAGCCACTCTTATCCTTGAAGAGTGTAGCTATACAAGGAGGTGATATGGAAAAACTAAATTATAGCAAAAGATTTTTTCTAGGATAGTTAGACTCCTCAATTCCCCCCATACAGATGAGGCCTTAATCTTCAGTCTTAGGCAAACTTCCACTGGAAAATGCCGCATCTTTATTCCTGTGGCATGTCCTTTCATATGGATCCACTTAAATTAATTCAGCTGCGAATCTTTAACAATATTGACCTTTAAATAGCCAGCATGTTAAGTCTGGGAAGATGAATGGTGGCAGATTTTAAGGAATTTTTTTTCCTTGCACTGAAATTATGGTAAAATATTTTTCAGACCCACTGAACAGAATAACTCTGAAAACAGAACTGGAAATCATAATTAGTCATGGTACTCCAGCATCAATTGAGGATAAAAAATATGAAAATGTAGTGAATGCCTGTTGCCTGGCCTGGCCTTCCTCTAATACCCTAGAATGAATGTTGATAGCATTTATTACAGTGGTTCAACTTAGGGCTTTGGCACAGGTTACCGGTATAACATCAGAAATCTGTGGAGTGTTGTGATGTCATAAATTTATGGCATTTTTAGAGCAGTCTCAGGCGAAGGCTTCATATTTTTTTTTCACACCTGCATGACTGTGACTTGCCACTGGTGGGCAGGGTTGTGAACAGGAGCCAGGACTCTGTTTCTTCTCTGTGGTAGGAGAGGAGCTGGGAGAGTGGTATGTAGTTTGGAGGCAGAGCAAGCAGCATGGAGCCTAGGCTGTAGACCAGTTGCATGGTCTCATTGCCTGGGTGGGGCGTGTCTTTAGCCAGCAGGACCCAGCCAGAGCAGAGGGAGGGAGGGGAGAAATCTTAAAAAACTGTTTGAAGTAGGTGAGGGGGAATAAAGAGAAAGAAGTGAAAAAAAAAAATTAAAAACTTGCATGTGTCTCAGTGAATTGGGATTGGGTTGGAAGGGTGGGAGTTGGGTTAAAGGTAGACAAAGTCATGCTGGCTTGCCTGGAAGGCTGGGGAAGGGGAGGAAAAGCCAGGGGACAAGGCTGGGAACACTTGTTCGTTGTCGTGGCAAAGAACACACATAAGAGTAAAACTGAGAACCAGCATGCTTGCTGAATGGCACAGAGCACATAGGGCAGGGCTGAGAAACAGAGGGTTTGTGGGGCCAGGGAAACTGAGGCACAGTGAAGCTTCCTCCACTGTGTGGTCTCTGGTTAATTGAGCCCCCACAGCTCCCTGCGAAACAGGGACCCCAACCAAGGCGACCATGCAGCTGAGACAAACAAACAAAACAAGCACTGTCTCCCATGAATTAGAGCCACAGTGGCTCTGTACTGAGCACAGAGCCCCTCAGGCAATGAGACCATGTAACTGGAGACCACTAGAGATTTGGTAGGTGGGAAGGAGTAGAGTAGTTGGGACCTGTGCATTCTGGGATGCTGGATAAATGAAAGTAAGACATTTTATTTCCCTAGAACATCCATATGTTATCCTGGAACATCCTGGGCAAAATGAATCAAAGATAAACTTCGCCTATAGTGGTATCTCTCTAAAACTTTTCGAGAGCACTTATGGTGATTTAACAACCCTGAATTAATGATTGTTTCTGTTTTAAATGGCTTTATGATGTTTTAAGGTAACCTGTGCCAAAGCCCTTACTGTTTAAGATAACTCATTCTAAAACCTGTGGTGGTTATTCTTATCTATTTCATCAAGAAGCCTGTAGGGTAAAGGTCTCTTTAATAATTATTTCTTCCAATAGATCATGGCTCATTCTGATCTACTGTGTTGTAAATAAACCTATCCAAATACAAAGAAATATATATTTGCTTTAAGCAGTCATTCCATAAATCTTCATGGCTGTAATAAAGGTGGTTTTATTACTATTGTAAAAGCAACTAAAATTGTGGTGGGGTGATATGAATGACATTGAAATAAATAATAACTGGTTGAAACAACTTTTAATGAGGTTATAATCCTACAGACATTTAAAAATGTTGTTTTATATTTAAAAATACGAGTCAGCATTACTTTGCTAATACATTTCTTGAAATTATACACAAGGTAATGGCTCAGAAATAACCATGCCTCTAAAAACAGCAGCTTTACAATTAAAAATAGATCTGGATTTTATCTTCACACATTTGGATGCGTTGAACCAACTTTCATTCTTATGTGCCCACCGTGAAGAAGTTTGGAATGTTTTCACCAATAAAGTTTGCTCATCTGTGTCATCCTTGGTATGCTCTCTTCCACCCACCAGTTAGTTCCTACCAGCTGCAAGGTTGAAACAGCTCACTATCTATCGCGTAGGTTAGCTTCTTCTCTAGTTGCACTGTAGTTACTCTAATTGTTGTTTTTTTTTTTTTTTTTAATCTGGTCTTCTTTTCATTGTGAATTGGCTATAGTAGGAAGCACATTGTTTTAGCTTGTTGTGGTAGGTGACACTAGCGTTCTGGCTCCGCAGCTGACCTAAATGAAAGGCAGATCTAGTACTTTGATTGCTTAGAACAGCAGCAAGTGATTGTTAGGGGCAACAGCTAGGGTCAATTGGAGCCTGAGTATGGTAAGCTAATGCAAGTCATGCAGTGTACAGATAGGAGGAGAAAGGCTCCCCCACAAGTCTAATACCAGCTCTGTGTAAGAGTTGTATCCCATCTAAGTGTGAAGTTTGCAAATCACTTCAGAAACATGTACTAACAGCTAAAGAGTCTCAGTTCAAATCTAGACAACTCTGTGAGAGGAACATCCAACTCAGAATTGATTCAGGCAAAAGTTATTGAGAATACGTCAAGATCTCCTTCATGAGAAAGCAGTCAGTTGTCCACAGGCATAAGACAAATTCTTCCTTTTTCTTATTTCTTCCAGCAACTCCTATTTTAATAATTCTGGAAGAGACTGAAATTTCAAAAGAGGAATGCCACTTCTGCCACCTCTCCAACAGGTCTACACACCAAACTTCATGCTAGGTTGAGGGTCTTGGATTAACTTTCTAGGATGTCCCCTTTCTCCCCACCTTGGTTCTTGCCTTGCCTTTTTCAAGAACTGGACTGAAATTATGACTGAAGAGTGGATCTCCTAGGTCACCCAGGATGGTAAAGATCATTCAATTCTAGCTCATGTCTTTAGTGGCCATTCTCACAGGTCCCTCAGGCAAATCCTTTACTTCAACTTGAATACCATAAATCCTTGGGGTTCAGGGCAAAAAGTTGCTCTTACTTCCTTTTCCCAAAAGAGAAAGGCAGATGGTGATATATGCTAGATTTCAGGTGCCTCATCATATACTTACTGGTACATTGCATCAGACTTCATGGTGATTCTAGGTAGGTCACATGGACTATCCCATTACCCTCAATCGGTGGTTCTCAACCTTTTTTTTTAACTCAGCAACCCTCATAAAATGCCAGTTCTTTGTTTTCCTAATTTCTTGACTACTGAAAAATAAGAGAGCAATTCTCCTGCAAAGAACTTGGAAAGACAACAGCAGATCAGAATGCTTTCAACACTAAAATATTTCATATTTAAAATATCTGGGTTTATCTTGTGAATTATGTACATGTTTGCACAGCTAACAGTGTTAATATTGCATCAAAGTGTGTGGCATCCTGGTTGAGAATCACTTGGTTAAGGAAAGATAAGAAAGAGTTAAATTGCAGGCAGTATTGGAGGCAGAAACAGACTTTGAGTGTGAAATAGAATAGAACAGATATTTGAAATATTTGGCATATTCTTGGCCTGAGTACACATATGTTAACAAATCTAAGATGTTGACTCAAGCTGTATTCTGCTTATAACAGATGTGAGACTCAGAGTTAAATATTACCTTAGTCATGTAGTTGGAGGTCTCTGGAGCTGTTCATTCTCAGAATTAGCTCATCTTGGTGTAGGAGCAGTGAATAATATTAGGTGACACCACTGGAAAAGCATTGTGGCTTGTGCTTGTCACCTGGAATAGTATGCTCAAAAAATATTTAAATCCATATTTAAATGAGGAGAGATTGAAAAGATGAGGCACATTTAGTTCACAAAGAGCTTGCTTTTAAAATATATTTTAGAAAATGGAGCTTATGGACATAAGACATTTATTGAGGCCAAGAGCATAATAGGCAAAAGACTTGCTAGGATCCAGCACTAAAATTGATGTCCAAGGACTTTTGTGATAGGAAATATGGAACCTTTTATAAGTTGTTTTCTTCAGGAAATTTTGTGGAGATATTTTGAAACAACTCTTAGCCACTCATTCTACATAATTGTTTAACACTGGAACAAATACTCTGTTATTTATCTTCATAATTAAAGGATTTAAGACTATTTAAAAAATGATTGAAATATTTTACAACAAAAGTCTCTTTTTTACATGTTTCCTCTATTTATTGTGACCTTAATGCTTACTAATACTGTCTAAATTATTTCTGTGATTTTTATTTATTTCTACATAGAGCAAGAAGAGTACTAGTGCATCATTTAAATCAAGATCAGAACTGGAAGGGTATAAAAGTGCCTCATGTTGTTAATTCTGGTTTATTTTAACTTTCCCAGCAGATATATGGAGTGATCACTCATTTCAGACAGACCCTGACTTGCCACCGGGCTGGAAAAAAATCAATGACATTGCAGGGATCTATTATTGGCACATACCAACGGGAACAACCCAGTGGGAACGTCCTGTCTCCATACCAACAGATCGTCAGGGTTCAAGGAAAGGATCCCTCAGTTCCATAACTCCATCTCCAACCCCAGAAACTGAGGTAAAATTTAGTATCTTCTTACCATAGTATATGGTATATATATTAAAAAAGAAAATAGGATCTCTTTCAGCCATTGACTTGCACTTAAAACAGTTAGCAAAATAAGCTTTAAAATACAGACCATTTTAGCATCCTTAAATGTAACAGTCTATTGATACCTCATATGTATCCATCTTCCATGCATATTTTCATGGCCTTGTTTCATGAAGCATCTTAAAGATTGAATATTTAGTGTGAAATCAGACATCCAGTGTGATTCAAAATTAGGCTGGGGAAGGGTGTACATGCATGCATGTGAAACTATTAAGGTTCCCTAGAGTGCATTAAAGCAGTACTCTATTGTACAGGTACAGACTACATACAACATCCACATATTAACTATCCTGTGACTAGGCTTTTTATATGACATCTTCTGCCTTTTTGATTCAGTTAGCTGGCGTGTCACATATACAGACATTCGAAGTTATACCTGAGATTCCAGGTTCTAAATGGAATCATTTATGTTGCATAAACGCACAGCATTCTGGTGCGTTTTAGCATTCTACCAGAAAAAGTATCTCTGTTCAATATATAGGTTTGTGCTAAATGTTTACATTGGTAAAGAAAGGGAGAAAAGAAAGCAACTTTGTCTTCTAGTTTGGAAAGAGGGAGTAGAGCAAAATGTGACAAATATGTTTAAACTGTAATAGGACATTGGAATAAACCTTTGTGGGACAATCCTATGGGGTAATTTATTGAAGTCTGGGTAAGACGTAAAATAAACCAAATGGAACAGTATATTAGAGAAAATGGACTTAATTTATATTGTTTAAATGTACATACAAGAAAAATGTTGTATTTCTTCAAATGCATTTGAATGTAAAACATTAGGGCACTTACACACATGCAGGGAGGCTGCTCCAACGTGCTGTAATTCACAGTAGTTATTAAATAGGTACTTTGCGTCGGTCTTTCATCAGTCCCATGGGACGCCCATGCCCGCTACAGGGCCGGGAAGTCCGGGTGAGGGTGATCCCCTGCCCTCCATTAATGCTGACTTCCTGAAGGAACATCTTGAGAAGCTGGATACCTTCAAGTCAGCCGGCCCTGACAATCTTCACCCCAGGGTACTCAAGGAGCTGGCGAGCATCATAGCCCAGCCTCTAGCACGGATCTTTGAAAACTCTTGGCGCTCTGGTGAAGTGCCCGAAGACTAGAAGAAGGCCAATGTGGTGCCTATCTTCAAGAAAGGGAGGAAAGTGGATCCAGCTAACTATAGGCCCATCAGCCGACTTATATCCCGGGGAAGATCTTAGAAAAGTTTATTAAAGAGGCCATCCTTAATGGACTGGCCGACGCCAACATCTTAAGGGATAGCCAGCACAGGTTTGTTGCGGGTAGGTCTTGCTTGACCAATCTCATTTCCTTCTACGACCAGGTGACCTATCACCTGGACAAGGGAGAAGAGATTGATGTCATATATCTTGACTTCAAAAAAGCCTTCGATCTGGTGTCCCATGATCGCCTCTTGGAGAAACTGGCCAATTGTCGCCTTGGGTCCTCCACGATCCACTGGCTGGAAAATTGGCTCCGGGGTCGGACCCAGAGGGTAGTAATCGATGGAAGTCACTCATCGTGGTGTCCTGTGACCAGTGGGGTCCCCCAAGGCTCTGTCCTTGGACCCATACTGTTCAACATCTTCATTAATGATGTGGACACTGGAGTCAGAAGCGATC